AAGTTTATTTTTTTAGTTGTAAGTATACAAACTTTCACTATTTATGAATGCTTGATTTGTGGTTTATTTTTATATTTGAGTTCTAAATTGCATTAATTTTGGACATATAACTCGTTTATAAATGATATATGTATAATTTTATTTTCATTGTTATATTATTGCATTTTTTTTTAAACATGAGTAAACATATAAACAGCCCATAAAAGTTACATGAATCACGATTTAACTTATACAAAGTTATATCATTTTGTTTAGACAAAAGTTATAATCTCGAAAGAGCGTTTTCAAAGTGGAAAATGCTTTTAAAAGTTCAACATTTTTATGAAAACTTAGAGTTTTATAAAGGAAAAATAAGCGGGCGTTACACTTAAAGAGAGAGAGAGAGAGAGAAACTAAGAGAAAAATCTTGTAAATGAGGAATTGATGCCAAAAAATACAAAGCACTAAGTCTATTTATAGCCACACTACAAACACAAACTAAAAACACACACATTTAATGAAACACTCGCGGGTTAGGCTAGAACTCGCAAGTTAGGCTTGAAAATGGCTGTGTCTCAGTCGCGAGTGCAGGGCGGCAATGGAAAGAACTAGGTCGCGTGGGCGCGCGGGCGGTTGGGAACTGGCATTTGGCTAGCGAGTACTTCTTGGGAAGAGCAGGCGCGCGGGTCTCTCGAGTCCACCGGGCACTAATCGAGGCAATCGGTCGGGAACTCTCCGGGGACTTTTCTGGTGATTTTTCGGCCAATATTTGGGTGTTTTTCGACGACTCTTCAGAACGAAAATTTCCTACAAAATAAGATATAAAAAGAGAAATAAAAAGAAAAAGATACTAAAACGACACAAAACACAAAAACGACTAAGTGGATCGGGAGAAACCTAAAATAAACTAAAACGAACACAAATAAAACACATAAAAATACATAAAATAACAACAAAAAACATACAAGACAAGAGCCACAATATGTTCATTGTTCCGAAAGACCTTCATGGGCCAACAGACAGCATGCTACAACCACAACAGGATTTAGTATCATGATTCAGTTTGAGATATGGATACTGCAATGATGATACATGTCATTAAACGTTTAACTGTTTAGATTATCTTCACTGAGCTAGTGGTTTGGTCACCCACCCCCACCCCCTCCCTCCACCTCATTTTCCCTTTTTTCAGGTTGATCAAGTTGGCGTCGGGACACGGGACGGTGAAGTGGTCGTGTATCAAATATCTTTATGCTTTATGGTTTTTGGGACTTACTCCTATGATTTGGTTTAATTGACTAGCATGATATTTGAGTTGAAATGATGAGATGTTTTACTCATTTAATTGACTTGAATTAAGAGTTAAGATATGAACATGATGAGTTTGAATGACTAGTGTTTACGAAAAATTCATATAAAAAACTTAGGGATTTCAAAGTGTAAAGATTTCAAAACTCCGTTAACACTCTTTAAAATATCAAAAATACTTTTTGAAAATTGGGGGTTGCAATTCCTATATCCAAAATAAGCTTGTTTTGATAGAATGAGCTTTTTTAAGAAGCTCGAACTTATATGATAAGCTTTCTTGGGCAGCTTTTCAAATAAGTCTGTTGAAATTTTTATTTAAGCTAACTTATTAGCTGATTTTACCAAACACTTTAATCATATAAACTATCTTTTCAGTTAAAGTCATAAGCTCAGTTATAAGTTCGAAATTCACTTATAAACTATCAATTAACTTATCAACTATCAACTAGCTTATCAGCTACCAAAAATAGCCTATAGTGAGAAAGGTTCAAGCTTTACTTGATAAAAAAATTCCAAATTCAGACAATAAATGAAGTTGTTCGATATTTAGGTGGAACTAGAAATCTCAACGGAGGAATTCCCGCTTTTGCTGGCGGAGGATTGATGCGAGGATATTTCTTTACTTAGTACTTGTTTGTGAATACTTTTTAAAAAGTCCATTTAAAAAATTGACTTTTTTAAAATGGACTTCTCCAAAAGTCTTCGTGTATGTTTGGATGCACTTTTATAATGGACTTTTGACTATAAAAGTCCATTTACTATATAAAAAGATGTTTGGTGTAGATAACAAAATGAACTTTTAAAAAAGTAACTGCTACAAAAAGTTCATTTCAAAGAAGTTTATATTGAAAACTTCTTGAGAAGTCACTTTTCAAAAAGTTCATCTTAAGATGGACTTCTCAATAAGTGTTTCCAAACAAGCCCTTCATTATTTACTTCTACATAATAATGGACTTTTTGAAGAAACAATTATTCATAAGTCCATTCTAAATTTTAGTACCAAACATAAATATTTATTCGAATAGACTTTTACATCCAAAAGTCTATTTAAAAGGTGTTTCCAAACAAGCTCTAATTAGTTTGTGGCTACTAATTTTTCTCTGATTTGGAGATATTTTTTTTTTTTTTTTTGGTCGAAACGATAGGAACTACTATAACCACTCAAGGGAACAATGTTCAAATACAAAGTGCGGAACCAACCGAATAATAATGCAAACTGAGAGGACACGCTATAAGCGGCCTAGAAACCCACATGCGGGTATAAAAACCAATAACTGTCCTATAAACAAGGATGGGAAACAACCACTGCATAAGCCTAGCTATTACACCATTCTGAGGACTAAAACAGAAACCAAAGAGAAAGCTAAACAAAGCTCAAGAAACCGCAAATGCTACAGAAACTGAAAAAGAAACTAGCTAATCCTAGAGAACTCCTGCCATTCAGATAATGCACATCTAACAAGAACTTGGATTGGAATATCTGCTGCCTCAAATAGCCATAAGTTCCTGGAGCGCCAAAGCCACCATAGCAAATAAGTTGTCAGCTGTATCCTATGCTCATCCACTTCTTGCTGCCCAATGGTACTTATCTGTCTCCACCAAGAGCTAAAACTGATACCAGGATCAGAAACACCATCCCATTGGATAGGCCCTAACTGCCAAAGCCTTCTAGCTTTATTACAAGAAAAGAAGGTATGCTCAATTGTTTCTGGCCCTTCCCCACAGCTCTTGCAAATTACATCAATATCAAGCCCTTTAGCAATCAGATTAACCTTGACTGGTAGAGTACCTGCACAACATTTCCATAGAAAGTGTTTGATCTTCCCATTGATTTTCAGTTTCCAGGTTTTATCTCTCACTGCTTTGATGAGCTTGGAATTGTTGCTTCCTTCTGGAATGTCAAGACTTTGAACTTTCTTGGATATGAGATGGGAGTAGGTGGATGAGACAGTGAATTTCCCTTTTCTGTCAAGGCCCCAGAACAGCCTGTCCTGCCTTCTAGGATTGAGAGATGTTATATTCAAAATAGCCTTGCTGTCAGCTTCATCAAAAACCTGGTTAACCAACCAAGTGTTCCAACTCAAGCCATCTGCACTCATTAAATCTTTGACATAAACCAGGATGCCTCTTGCTATATCAATAAGAGAAGGTCTGGGATGAACAGAGTTAGGGACCCAATTGAAGTCATCTATTCTAGTTTTTTCCCCATTCCTTATCTCAGTTCTGAAGCCAGCAGCAAACACAGACATTGTATCCATCCATCCTTTCCATAACCATGAACAATTTTTGGTTTTATCAGCCTCAAAAATAGAACAAGAAGGATAATACCTGCTTTTGAGGACCTTGCTTACAAGTAGATCTGGCTGAGAAGAGACTCTCCAAAGCTGTTTGCAAATTAAGGCCTGATTGAAAAGAAGCACATCTTGAAAGCCTAGCCCACCTTCAGTTTTTGGGATTGTAAGTTTGCTCCAAGCTCTCCAGTGAATGCCTCTATCTTGGTTCTCACCTTTACTCCACCAAAAATGGGCACAAAGCCTTTCTATCTCTTTGCCAATGGATATTGGGATTCTGAAACAAGCCATAGTAAACACAGGCAGGGCATTCAATACTGCCTTAATTAACACCTCCTTACCTGCATTTGCTAAGGTTTTATTTTTCCAGCTGGTAAGTCTAGCCCTGACTGCCTCCACAACATATGCAAATGCCTCCTTTTTAGATCTGCTGAGCCCAAGAGGCAGCCCGAGATATCTGGTTGAAGAGTGCACTTTAATACCCCCCAAAGACTGGCAGATACTGTTCTGGAGATGAGATGGGACATTTTTGCTGAAGAAGGCAGATGATTTATCCATGTTGACTCTCTGGCCTGTGAAGATCTTGTACTTCTCCAGTAGCTCTGTGAGAACTTGTGATTGGTCCACCCCAGCTTTCCCAAAAAGTATAATGTCATCAGCAAACATAAGATGGGTAATTGTTGGGCCATTTCTATCAAACCTCAAACCTGTCAGCCTCCCAGAGTTGACTGCATCTTGAATAAGAGCTGAGAGCATCTCTGCCACAATTATGAACAAATATGGGGAAAGTGGATCCCCTTGGCGAATACCCCTGGTTGGGTGAATAAGACCACCTACTTTCCCATTGACATTAAAAGAAACTGAAGTAGTGGTTAAACAAGCCATAATGAGTTTTACAAACCTCCAATCAAACCCCATCTGAATCATAATGCTGTGAATGCTACTCCATTCAACAGTGTCAAAAGCTTTCATAAGGTCCAGTTTGAGAGCCATAAAAAAGTTCTTCCCTGTTCTATGTCTGCTGAGGAAATGGAATGCTTCATGAGCTATGATGACATTGTCAAGCAACTGCCTATCTTGGAGGAAAGCAGATTGGCTGGGACTAATGCAAGAATCAAGACAGTTTTTCAATCTGAGAGCCAAAATTTTTGAGAAAATTTTGTAGACCACAGTACACAAGCTTATAGGCCTATATTGGTGAAGGAACTCAGGGCTTTTGCATTTGGGGACTAAGGTGACAAGGGTGTGATTCCAATATTGCAAGAAAGAACCAGAGTCAAAGAAACTTTTAATAGCAGCTACTAAATCATACCTCACCAAACTCCAGAAGTGTTGGTAGAATAAAGCATTCATTCCATCCTCTCCAGGAGATTTTTCAGAAGGGAGGCTGAATAGAGCATTCTTTATTTCTTCTTCATCCACAGGTTTCAACAGTTGCTGGTTCAGCTCTGCTGTAATGGTCTTGGGAATTAGCTGAGTCAAAGTTTCACCACCCCTAGAACCTTCTGATGTAAACAAAGAGTTAAAGTATTCTGAGATATGGAGCTCAATTTCTGCCTGAGTTTTACAAACATAGTGATCTATAGTGATAAGTCTTGAGATAGAGTTGAGTTTCCTCCTTTGCCTAGCATAGGCATGGAAAAATCTTGTGTTAGCATTCCCTTCTTTCCACCAATGGATTTTTGCTCTTTGTCTCCAGTATTGTTCTTCATAGCAGTGGGCTTCTTCAAGTTCTGCTTTGGTTGTGACCCATTCTTCCCAGTGATTTTCTGCTCCTTTCTCTCTTATATCCTCCAATTTAGCAGAAAGGCAATCCATTTTCTCCTGGTTAGCTTTAGTGAATTGGGAGCTCCATTTCAGCAGAGCTAGCCTAGTCTCTTTAACCTTTTCCTTAAGTCTGAAAAAAGGAGTGCCTTGTTTTTCTGTTCCCCAGGCTTCTTCAATAACAGTAGAAATGCCATCCATCTTCAACCACCTCCTATCAAAGGTGAATCTCTTTTTTTGCTTTTGCTGCTGATCTCCACTGTCCAGTAAGATCATTGAATGGTCAGAAGCACTCCTAAGAATATTGTGCACAGCAGCATTCAGATTTGCAAGCATCCACTCAGGGGAGGCAAAGGCCCTGTCCAGTTTTTCCTCCACAAGATCTGTTGCATTTCTGTTGTTTGCCCAAGTATACTGGTATCCAAGCATTTTAATCTCCTCCATGTCCATCTGATTTATGAAGCATTTGAAGTCCATGAAACTGCTGTCATATCTGGGTCTGCCTCCTTTCTTTTCCTCATTGGAACATATGTCGTTCCAATCCCCAAGGATGAACCAATTGTCTCCCCATGTATCTTTGTCCATTTCTAACTCTCTCCTCTGAGTTTCTCTAATAGATTTATCAGGGCTCATATAAACAAATATGCCCCAAGTAACCTTGTCTCCTCCTATTTTAAACTGTGAAGCTATATAGAAATTCTTGCAAATGACCTGGATGACTTCAACCTCAGATCTCCACAAAAGCACCATACCTCCACTTGCACCTATAGGATCCACTATCGCAAACCTATCTTCATAACCCAATTGTAGCGCCCCGTTCGTTTATGGAATATTTGGGATTTTTTTTAATTAATTAATATTATTGTCATTATTAATATTATTTTTATTATTGTTATTATTATTCTATTTAAATGCCTAATTGTGAAATAAATGTTTAATGTGTATTATTATTATAAATAATATGTGAAATATATTTTATTATAATAGCCGTAATTTTTATTTTTAATTATTGTGCAAACCGAGCCATTTTATTTTGGCTAAATCGATCAAAAATTGAGCCCGAGAGAACCGTACGCTCTTAACCGAAACTTCGGCCCATTTAACCGGCGCCCCGGCCCACTTAAGCTCATGACCCTAAGCCCGAATTTTTATTTCGTTCCCTTCTCAGTCGTTCTCTTCTCAGAACCACGCAGCCTCAAACAGATTTATTTTTCTCTTCGATCGCATCTCCTCCATCGATCCTCTTCCTCGTTTTTTTGGAATTTCCGATCATCACCATCGTCGCCATCTTGCCGGCGTGAAGCAGATCACCTCACCTTCGTTCTCCCGTCACCCTCCACCCGACGTGAACCAGCGAGAATCCCGATCTGCCCTCATCTCCGGCGATTTCCCGTTCGCACAGCAACCTCCGGCGATCCGCAGCGACCAACAGCAACCCGGTGAACTCTCTTCCTCCGGCAATTCCGTTCGTGCATAGAACCAACCGCGAGCAGGACCCTTCTTCCGCAAACGACCGCCGCCTGCTGCTTCTCCACTCGCCGCCATGACCAGTCGCTGTACTCCGGCGACCATGCGCCGCTGCTCCACTCACGAATTCCGGCGTGAAGCCCTGCTGCACATCACCGGCGAGAAGTAGCAGCCCTGTTCCCAATGAGTCCCGTCCTCCCTATTTCGCGATGTCTCGTCGAGCAGCGTCTATCAGCAAACCGAGGACCACCCGTTTTCTGGCGAGCGTCCTCCGAGCATCGCAGCCCTTCGCTCGCTGCTCCTTGCCGAACCCTAGCAGCGACCAGCAAGTCCCCGACGAGACTCGTCAGCGCTGCTCCTACCCGCGAGACGCGAGAATCCGTCGAGCCCGTCACCTCGTTCGTCTTTTTCGTTCCGTTTTCCGAGAACGGTACGTAGGCGAAATCCCATATCGTTTAAATCACATTCACGTTGTGCTCGTTATGTTGAATTCGAGATATGATTATTTATGTGATAATGTGTTTGATATGAGCTATGTGATAATTGTGAATTTATGTGTGTCGTTTAAGTGTTCGAGGACCTCTTCAATTATGAGAAATTGAACGAGACCTCGAAACTCGTGTAAGTCGGTGGATATTGGAACGATGTCGAGACCCTTGGCCTTATGGGAAGGCCTCGGACGAGAAATTTCATGTTATGAATTAATTGCTAAGTTGTCGAGCATATATATCGCTGTTTTGGTGTTTGAATTTTTAAAAATAGCACGCTGCTCGGAATGACTTGAAATTTTGAGGAGTATGCTTCCTGTTCATTGGCAGCCTCGTGTAAAAATTTCATAATTTTTAGAGGCATGTAGCTATTTTTGATAAATAGAGTGAATTCTGATCAGAATATTGTTTAATGCCTAATAAATTGGTTCTTGATTCAAATTAGTTGAAATTTTGGTATGTTGTACCACTGATTTTTTTATATGTTGTGTTAAAATTTTAGAACTTTTGGACTAAGTTTGATAGGGTAAATAATTTAGTTTCTGAATGTGCAGAAAGTTGTTTGAATTACTATAAATCGGTTGGTTGTTGTAAAATTCTGAAACTTGGTTGAGATGTTTATTTTGAGTGTATATTCATGCTGTTAAAAGATGAAAATTTTTGGAGTTCATTTTAGTCCTGTTCTGACTTAAATTCGATAACTGCAGAATCTTGCATGAATTTTTAAAATTATCAAAGTTAATGTCCAGGGCTGAGATTTTTACATGTTGTCTCTATCATGCTGTAGCTTGTTGTGTTAAATTTTCAAGTCCTGAATCGTTCATTTGGTTCGGATATGAATTCATTTGCGTTTTTGCTGATTTCTCGTAGGAATTTTATAAATTAACGTGCTTTGAGTTTAAAGCTGAAAATTTATGGTTTTACTTATTACTGGAAGATGTAATTTTGTGTAAAATTTCAGAGCCTAAGTCGAAGGGCAGCCTGGTCAATGAATTTCATGTGATTAATAGCTAGTAAATTTATTTAAACTATGATTTTGAAGTTAAATCTGTGATTGACTTGCTTTCCATTCTGTTGTGAGTTGAACTTGGTCTATCCTTAGATGGATCTATGTGATCTCCCATATATGGTCTGGTCGAGTATAGTGCCGAGTCTAAGTGTTCCAACGTCCACAAGACTTCACGAACTACTTAGTCGAAACAAGTTCGACTAGGTTTGTTTTGTGTTTTCCGATTAAGTCAAGATATTGATTGTAGGATCTTGACATAATGTAGGTGTTTGAGGAGTCAAGCCTCGACCTACTTCCATTGCTTTGAGTTATCATCAATCCGGAATCCAGGTGGGTTGTTATTCTAAAATTATCTGTGCAATGTGTGTTTAAATATGTGTTTCCGTTTTGGCGTGATCTATGTATGAACGTGAATATGTAGCCTATCGATGTGAGCTATTTTGATGGCCATCGTTACGGTTGTCCCCGTCGATGTAATACGGTTGCCTTATGAGGCAAGTCTCCGTAAAGACCTATTATGAAAGGCCGTGTCCTTGCGTGGCACGTACTCTCGCCATTAGGGTAATGAATCCCCTTTCCGCGACTATTATGAAAGATGTGCACAGGAGTATTTATGTTATGATGGAGATGTGACATATGTGTATTGTTTGTGTTCATGCTACGACCATGCCAATTTGACATATTATAAATGTGCATTGCATAGTGTGAGTACGATATTTAACTGTACTCACTCCCACCTGCTCGTAACTGATGCAGGTTAAGCAGTGGCGTGTGACGAGACAAGACGGGCGGTGGTCATTGCTTATCATGCTTATTTATTATGCTTATTAAATTGTTTCCGCTTATTTATGAACTATGTTGGTATTGAACTTGTTTGGATTGGATTTTGAACTTGTTCATTTTGGAGAACTTTCAGATTTGGTTTACGATGAAAAACCCTACTTGATATCTGATTGAGTATGATCTGATGTTAAATTTATCGATTTATGTGGTTAATGAAAAGCGTTGAAAAATCGGGTAATGAATTCCCGTAGTTCAGTTATGACTTGAACTGTATTTATGAAAGGAATGAGTAACGTCAAAAATTTATGATTCGAAAAATAAGTTTCGAAAATTTTTACCTTGATTTTTGGAAAAGCCATGGATTTTCTTTAAAAATCGATTGGGGCGTTACAGTTTGGTATCAGAGCCAGTCTGCGTTTCTGTAGACTGGCGTATATGTGAAAACGTGTTTATATGCTTAGACCTTATATTATGACCACTCGTCTTCGTCACGCCGCGCTGCTTAAGGTATGTGTTTAAATAAGTATCAATGAAAATACTTATGTTATGAAATGTGAATTTGTGTTTTGCCTAAGTAGTAATAAGACTGCTTAGGATATGAAATGTTGAATTTGGGGCTTAAGATCTATCCACCTTCGTTTTAAATTCGAACTCTAGTGTTTGATGTTGAACTCTAGTGATATAGAGTTAAGTTCGGACTCTAGAGGTTCCTCGCTATGAGGTTCAGTTTGTTGTTATCGAGATAAGTTATGCCCATAGCAGTTTTCCTTGCTATGTAATTATATTAATGTCTTCAAGTGAGGACCCGGTCAATGAGAACCGAGAATGTATTCTCCCTCTTCGGACCTTTGTCAGGTTTCGAAAATTATGAGATGAGTCAATATCTTATAGGCTGTCATTTTTATGGATGTTCATGGCCACTGTTCAACCTCTGGTATGTTATGTGTTTAATGTCTCTTGTGCCTTAGTAAGGGTGAGGGTGAGTTCATGCTAG